TTTATAAAATTTATAAATAAAAAATTAAATAATAAATCCAAAAAATCAGGTGTAAAATTAGCAATTCCATATCCTGGATTACTTACTTACAACAATGAATATTCATTTTGGAAAGAGTTATTCTATATGCCAACAAGTAGTAGATTTATTGAATTAGATTGTTTTAATAGCTTAGAATTGTGTAAGCATTGGAATATTCAAGCAATTTTGGATTTAGATATTACATTGGGATTTGGATCTTTTATACAACATTTTTACTATGCTTTGTAATTGCAACCTCAATTTCACCAAATCAATTATCTGATGAAAAGAAAAGTTTACTATTATTTGCTACAGTTATCCTTGGATTGCTTCACCTTAGTTTTGAAGTGAGAAGATTCATTTGGAACCCTATAAGATATCTTGCTGATATCTGGAATTATTTTGGTATGATATTATTCCATTAATCATGGTTTATTAAAACTATCTTATATGTAATATTTATTAATTACTATTTATAGATCTTGGTGCCTGCTTGTTACCAGCCATCACTTCAATTTTATTGTTAAGTAATAATAGCCCACCTATCCAGTTGATTTCATTATCAAATTTAATATTAGATTTAAGATTCATGTTATTTTTAAGAGGTTTAGATTATTTTGGAAGATATTTTGCAATAATATTAGGAGTTGCAAAGAAAGTTTTTTCATTTTTAATGATTTTATTTTTAATTGTATTAAGCTTTGCGCATGCAATCTACATGATATTGAAACCAATTCAGGAAGATTATACACTAGACAGCCCTGATTTCAGAGATAATGATCCCAATAATCCTTGGAATCTTGCTTCTAAATATTTTACATATTTTACAAGTGAAAAATCATATAACCAAAATTCAATTATTGTACAACAACCTGACAGCAACACAAACATGTTTGCACATTTTCATACTTCAATGCTGGCAATGTATAATTTCCTCACAGGTAAAATTCTATATAATTTTTTTAAAAAAAAATAGTGAAATAATAATTATACAATTGGTTTTTTTAAATAGGGGATAATGGGGCATTTGGGTCATGGCAATTACAAGACGAACCATATTTGGCAATATTATTTATTGTATTTTCATTTATTGTTGTAATATACTTGATGAATTTATTCATTGGTCTTCTTGGCAATCAAATTGAAAAATACAACATAAATGAAGCATTTTTGGCACAAAAGGCAAAAATCATAAGAGATATTGAATTATTTTATTTACTTCCTAATCAACGTCGTTGGAGAAAATGGTTTCCAGACATTTTGTAAATATACAAATTTTATTTTACCTTTATTTCTTTGATCAATAAGTGTATTATAATTTTTTTGATAATTTGATATATAGATGTTATTATGCACCAGTTGAAGATGTTCGAGAGAAAATTAAAAAAGTTGATAATAGTCAAGAAGATTCAGAATTTCTTCCATTTATATCTGAGAAACTCAGACAATTGGCAAACATGCCCAAGCCAGATAAAAAAAACAAAATGGATCATGAAAACCTTAAAAATGATCTCCTCAAGGAAATTGAAAACAAATTAAATCATAATAAACAGGAAATTAAAATGAATCACGAAAATCTTAAAAATGATCTTCTCAAGGAAATCGAAAACAAATTAAATCATAATAATGAACGGATATTGGCCGAGATTAAAAATTTAAAAAAATAATTATTTTTCTATTTTTAATTTTATTATTTATTTCGGTTATAAGTTTCTAGATTTTGATTGGCTAAATATATATAGTCATGTCACGTAAAATTAATTAAATTTTTCAGATGGTACTAAGCTTGCCGGTATTATTATTACTGCTATTATCGTTATTATTACTATAATAATTATTACTATCATTTACTATAGTTATTATAATATCTCGCCTTTGATGGTTCGAATAAGGTTTATTCGAATTATTCGTTTTATTCGTTATGAAAGTTTTATTCGAATAGAATGAATAGATTAATAGAACGAATGGAACGAATGGAACGAATAGAGCGAATAGAACGAATAGAACGAATAATAATAATTCGAATTAAAATAATAAGTATTACGAATAGAAACTCTAGGACTTTTATCCTGCTATGATGTATTGTAATGCAGGTGGGCCATCTCGACTAAATGTCCATGCCGCTGAATTCTGCACTAAAATTCCAGACGTAAAAATGAATGTTAAGAGAAATTCGTTTTAGTTGGCTAAGCCATTTAAAAATTCCTTGGCAGGAATCTGTTATATTCATTCCCATACTTTCTATTTAATAATATATACATATGTGTGTGTTAATAATATGCCAATAACCAATATTATAAAAACATAAATATATGCTGTTGCTGCTGCTGCTGCTGCTGCTTGTGATTTCATAATTGGATAACTGATTCTTTTTGTTAAAAATCTATCTAAAAGTTATACAAGTAAAACAATCTTCTTGATTGTAACTCTTTTCTCTAAATGTTAACAAGGGTGAATAAAAATTTCATTGTTATTGGGAATTACTATCTATTACTAACGATATTAATTAATAAATTGAATAGTAAAAGAATTAATGAATGACTAATTTAATCTCCACTATAAATTTATTATCTTCTTTTTATTTATCTTTTTATTTCATCCATATTTTATTTCTTTTATCAAAAAAAAGGGTCAACAGTCGATTTTAAATTCGGTAGAGATCTACAGAACAGTGTAATTATTGTACAACACAAAAAAAAAAATTTTTGAAATTTTTTATAAAAGCTCATCTCAGTAGAAAGAAAACTTGTTAAATATACAAAGATTTTAAAGATATGGCTTCTAGACTCTTATGGTCCAGAGGTTGTTCAGGTAAGAATAGAAAAACCAGTTTTTAAAATAATTTATAAATTTTATTAACCATTCTACAATTTAGCCTCTCCTTTAAAACAATTGATAAATGTTCAACGTCCTGCCACTTTCATTGGGTATTATCATTATTATCATTATTATTATTTCATTTTATGCATTTATGTTTTTTTAGAAAAAAAATTAATATAATGATGAATTGGATTATAACCATGAATTTCTTTTAATTAATATAAAGAATTAGAAAATATTCCTCGTCTAAAAATGGTAAGAATTGTTAATAAACTTTTGAATCATTATTTATTCTCAAAGGGAAGAAAAACTAGGGAAATAAGGAGAAGGGGAATGATGATGGAATATAATCTCATTATAAATTTTATACTTATTACTTTATTATTGTCATTATGACTGAT